TGTGTGTGTGTGTGTGTGTGTGTGTGTGTGTGTGTTTCTGCATTCTCACTTGTCAACCTCTTCTTGGCTCATGACAGCAAAAACAAAACACTCTGTTACACCATTCACAGCAAGCAGGAGGACATAGCAGCTGTAGCATTGCAGCAAACTGGGCCCTAAAAAAATAAAGAAACAGATTTTACAAATTCCCAGCAAAGCAAAATGTCATATACTGGTGTCTCCTGTCACCGGATTCTAGCTCACATACCTGACCCACTACTAAGGAGAGAGCCGCCATAAATATCCAGAGCCAGGTGAGAGTATGCATAGCCAAACACTGTGATAATCAGACCAATCACCAGCACCAGTTTCAGCAGGCACTCCAGGACCTCTGCGACAATGGCAACTTCTTCCTATAACAAAAACCAGCAAAAAGAGGTCAAATCAACAATTCCAGCATAGCCGCTCACAAACATTTGTTTGAGATAATGTCCACAGTTCAGACCTGTTTCTGACTTTTGACATCGCGCCCTCTCTCCAGCACTTTGGCAAAGAATATGTAGAAGCTTTCTTCAATTGGCAAGAAGATGAATCGCGCCACCATGGAGCCCAGATTATTGACGATATCATAAACACCCTGATCTCCAAAGCTGAGGACGTTCAAAAAGGTCATGACGTATCGCTCACCCTCGGTCAGGATCTGCTTCAGGAAGGATTGCTTGAAGAAGCTCCAAGTGAGCCGCGCTAGATTCCTGTCGACTAACGGCTTTAAACACAGAAAAAGGTTAAGAATGTCCGCCGTGAATAGTAACCAAAATATAATCAATAATCACAAATAATCAGATTTTTACGAACATTTTCTGATTGACTGTCTCTAATTTACCTAAAACATTATAGTACAAAGCTTGGATATAAATTTTTAGCTTTATATGCTAAATACGTTTCTAGATTTTTTAATGGCCTATCCACCCACTTTCAGGCCTTTTTTCCCCTGAGGCATCTGAGGCAGTGTAACCCAAACCTAACTTTAACACCAGAACTTCCACAGGCAAGCAGGGATCAGGTAATCATCATGCTGACTGCTTCAACAAAGGCTGCTGTCTATGATATTGTAATATACATGAAAATGATACATTGTTGCATTTATTTTAAACCTAATCTGAATGATCAGATTCCTCCAGGGCAGTGTGCATGCCTTAAAAGTGGGTCTCAAAAATGAAAACTTTGCACAAAATAGAGTTTTCTTCTATTCAGGTTAGACTGTCTGCTATTGTTTTTGTGGTACAAATTGTCATATTTGCTCTACCAGCATGAAAGTTGAATGGTAATGCCATTTTCTTAATTTTTGCGACTAGGAATTTCATAAATCAGAAAGATAGATTGATAGATAGATAGAGAGATAGATAGATTGATAGATAGAGAGAGAGAGAATGATTTGATCTTCAGTGCGAATATTTCACAGCAATCATTACATACATCCAAACTTTGTACCATAAATTTAGCATGCAAATTTGGAGATGGTCGAGCATCACTGTTTGAGATGCAAATCACTGTTTACATCTCAAACAGTGATTTGAGATGCAATGACTCAGTGTGACTTTGATGGGATCAGTGATGAGTAATGCATAATGACGTGTAAGGTCAAGTACCTCTCCATACTGTCTGCGGGGCAGCAAATCTCTAACACGGCGCAGTGGGAAACTATTCCTTGCTGCCTCTTTGGAACCCAGGAAACGAATGAAGTAAACAGCATAGCATAGCACCAGGATCCCTGTGTACACCAACTAGAAAAAGTGAACACAGCACAAAGTCATGAAAGGTTAAAACAAATATCTGCAGAAATAAAGCAGCTGATACTTCAGCTGATTTCTTACATGAGCAGCAGAAAAGATGTAAAGGCCCCATTCACGGGAAAACACCACCAGCACCACAGTTATGCTGCACTTTGCGATCATTGCCAAGCTTTCAGCCACCACTTTCAATCGGACAAACATGTGAGCTTGAGCCAAGACCCACAAGGGTTCCGCCAGGAGCTCCTGCACCCCAGATAAGGCAAACAGCACCACAGCAGGACTGTAGTAAGGGACAGTGTGAGCATCTGGGACCTCTAGGAGCCAAAGCCACACATATGACAGCAGTACTGCCCATAACACACCAAGGGGTACCCTGAAAAATTAGAAATAACATGTGAGCATCAAAAACTGAAAATCAGAATGCCTATTTTACCATCTAATCAACTCACGTCATCCATAGGAGATTGATAACTGGTCTCCAGCTGTGTTTTTTGCCCGATTGCCCGCTCAGACAGGCCCTCCGGAAAGCCTCTCTGGACAAAAACACTAATGTGGAATACAGCAGTGTAAGCCTGCATAATAAAGACACACGTAAGGACACATGTTACAGCGGCTGGAGCCCGAAAACCATTGTGTTGTTTTCCTGCAAACTTTACCTGACATTGACCACCCCAATCAGCTCTTTGGACACAAACCGCAGCGTAAAGGCATTCAGGAGAAAGGTGAGCACACGGAACATTACCTGAGGACATAAAACCGGACAAATAAATGAATAAATAAATAAAAAAAATACTACAAATGCTCAACACACATCCACTACCGTGTTTGTTTACCTGTAGCAACACATTATAGGACGCTAGAGTGGACACACTCTGCAGTATGTCCTGAGAGCTCATTTTGATCTTCCTTTGGCTCTGTGAAAACTGTAGTCAGGTAGTATACCAGGTGTCCGCTGCTTTCTACGAAGAACAATCATAATGCTGCCATAGTGTGGAAACTCTTATCTCGACCGCATGACAAACCGGCGGCACCAGACATTATTCCAGAAGAGCAACTATGAGCTGTCAGTTGTGCCCGGCAGTTAAAGCTGTGGATCGTACACCAATACTTCCGTAGACATTTTACGCAAGCGCATTACGTGGTGACGTCACGCAACGTTGCTTTCACCCTAGTGCCACTAGATAGCGTAATAATGCTTAGGAAAAATCTATAGATGAAATCAAAAATTAATGCTCAATTCATTATGTACTACAGGTCCACGTGGACCACGTGTTTCCGCCACTGAAAAATGCATTACTGGTTAATGTCTCCAAATTCGATTTTCTGACTCAAACCTTGGTTGTTGTTGTTTTAGTGGCAGAAACAAGCATCCATAGGGTCTCAATATATTCGCTATATAAACACATATATGCATTTCTGATAAAAAAAATAATAATAATAATAATAATAAATTACGGGAAAATGTGTCTAATATTTCCTGTCCAAATAAAAAGATTTATTAACAAATAGAAAAAAAAATATTTTGTCGACTGATACTGATTCTTGTTTTGGTTTGTTTATGAATCAAATTTAATCAAAGGATAATGGGTTGTTTTTTTTTCGATGATCAGATCCAAAACGCTAATTTAATTTATATAAAGATTATATTGCTTTAGATCGCCTCCAGTCCAGCTCCTGAAAGTCAATTTGTTTAAAACCTTTTCTATTAAGTGCACTTCAAAATCACACAAAAGGAGCACAGACCTGGGAGTTTATGTTTTTTTTTAATCATATGGGAAATATGGAGACAGTAAAAAAAAATACATCCTTTGCAAACCAATATACATGTTAACAACAATATACATAAATATTATATACAGCGTTTAAGTGGCTCACCAATTAGTCATTTAACTACTCTTTTTGTACCCATGGCTGCACTCATTGCACCTCCATCCACAAAACAGAACTTTTCTGTACAGCTGAAAACAGCTGGAGCATTAAAGTTTGATCATTACATGGCACTGTTCAGTCAACTTTACAACCACAAGTTCTTCTTAGTCAAAGGCAAGAAGTTGGATGTTTGAAATTATAACATTCATATTTAAGCCACAATGCTAAGATGGATGGGTTTTTCTTGGTCTCAAATCTCTAAACATGCAGTCACCTTATTCACAAATACGACCTATATCTGAAGCATGAAGTAAAATTAGTTCCTGTAGCCTTTTTCCTCCATTTCATATTTTCTATCCCCAGTGGAGATGATTTTCAACATGAAAGAGAAACATGATGGCAGCAGATGGTAGCAATGACGTCAAGTGGAATGTAAGGATTTTTCAGACTCCCACTCCCACAGTATATTATTACTCACACAGGTCTTCATAACCTATACAAATAATAAGCATGCACATAAATGAAACATCCACATATATATATATACAGTACACGGGCCCGTTTGTTGTTTGATCGTACCCAAGAATAGTTTGTGCTTAAAATAAGGTGAAACAAATACTGATTGTGAAACAGCTTGCTCATCTGCAAGCAGGCGAACTGTTCCATAACATGAGGAGAGTAACATGAGTCTGACGTGAATGACATCATTTTTCTAAAAGATGTTCCATCTTGGGGTTCATGAATGAAAACCCAGCAAATGCCGACTGGTCCATGGAATCTATGAAGTTCTTATCACTGTAGGAAAGACGAGCCTTCTCGCTGAGGAACTCCCGGTCAAAGTTGCTGCAGTCATTCGGCGCTTTCTGGAAGTTTCCACAAACAAATCTCAGCAAAATGTAATCATAGCACCAGAGCTACAATTTTTAAATCCTCAGTGACGTGTGTGTGACGTACCACTTTGGGTTTGAAGGGGGGCTCAACCTCTCTCATTTCCAACGCCTGCCAGTTAATGCTCTTGAAAAAGGGGTGTAACCGGATATTACCCACAATTCCTATCCTGCGAGTTGGGTCTCTCTCAAACAACTGCAGGGAAGGGAGGTCAGAAAGGTTGCATAAGAAATATATGTGATCATGTGTCAAACACAAAGGATTTTCAGTTAAATGGACTGCTTATGTTCTCAGACCGTACCAGCCAGGGACTGAACTTGGTGTTAATGTTCCCTCCACTCAAGTGCATCAACAAGCTAACTTTTTTACTGTCATTTCCTACTCCACAGACAATCTAAGTTATTCAGGTCAGGACTCTGCAAGCTCTTACAACTGGCAGAGTAACTGCAGGTGGAGTAGACCATATTAACAATGGATATGTTGCACTAAGTGTAACAATTAGAACTTGTCCAAATACTTTTTGTTAATATTTGGAGGGCTTTTGGATGCTCCCTCAAAAGAGAGGCTGATTTCATTTCACTAAACCTCAAGCAAAGCTTTAGCTCAGGCAGGCCACAAAGGCAAGTCTTGGAACAATCCCAGCAGATTAGCTGATCCCAGTATTAGCCCACACCAGCAGAGGACTAAGCTCAGGTACCCTAAAACCCTTTCAAATGGTTATTTCATATAGGGTATGAAGTGTAAGCTGCTTTTTCTCGCCCACTGTTTCTGTGCATTCTTTTCATGTTTCTGACTTGTTCAATGTCCAGTCTGTTGCCGGTGATACAAATACTAGTTTCTCCAATACTTTGTGAAATAAACACATGAAACTCACTTGGATGAGTGATAAAACATTGCTCCCACTGAAAACGCTACGTCCAGATGAACAGAGTCAACTTTTTGGGACTCATGGACATTTCGTGTCTGAACGCTTTTTGGGGTTATTATATTTAGTATTAAAGATATGATACAAACCCGCTCAAGCAGGTCTTTCGACTCCTTGCTGATCCATCGGGGATAATGGGGAGTATCCATGCGAATGGACTCAAACAGCTCATCCTCATCATCTCCATGAAAAGGTGACTGACCAATCAGCATCTCATACAGCAACACCCCAAATGACCACCAGTCAACTGAGAATGAGTATTTCTGTCCCAGCAGAATCTAAAGTTAAACAAAAAATTATAAATAACAATTAAACCAGACAGACGTTTAAAAGCTTTGTTTTTAACTGCAGCTTTGATTATTTCAGCACAAGAGAGAATTTTGGAAGAAGACTGCACCTCTGGAGCGATGTAATCAGGAGTGCCGCAGAAAGTTGTGGCGCGATTGTCGCCAAATACATTCTCCTTGCACATGCCAAAGTCAGCAATCTTTATATGCCCATCGCAGTCCAGCATCACATTGTCTAACTTAAGATCCCTGAAAATGAATAAAAAGTAGCACCAAGTTAGGATATAAACATGAGCTATTGTGATGATAACGTTTTAGAAAACTATTTTGTGTTTGTTAGAACAGAATTTACCACACAAATAACAACTTACAATAAAAGGTTATGCTTTAAATAAACTTTTAAGGGGATTAATGTTTGATTACAGATGCATTTGCACTTTGAACTGTGAGATTTTTTACACACTACTATTCACTACACAAAGCAGCACTTTTGTAAAATGCATGCAGTAATTATACGAGTTTCTTTAAGGATATTTAATTTTGACTATACTTATAGGTGATTTTAGTTAATTTCACTATAATTAAAAAAAACAAAATTATGCAGAGATATGAAAGGTCTTTGAGATATGTAGTCTAATTGAGTGGTCTACTGTTTCTATGTTCATTTACTAGAAATTTTGTAACAGTTATCTTAGTTTTGTGTTGTCCTGAAATGTCAGGAGTCTGGTTTTCTCAGTGTAACAAATAAACACATTTACATTTTCCTCTTCCCAAAATCTTTTAAAAATAATTTAAATCCCATTTTTGGACTACATCCAAGTCCATGGTTTTCATAACAGCCCTTGCTCAATGCATGCCACACAATAATAATTAAACTTTCAGGGGAAAAAGTGTCAAAAATGTGTGGGATTACCTAACTAAACAAGTTTGGAGACTTTGCAAGTTCATTTTCTCATTAGACTTGCAACTGAAATCATTGGCACATTAAAAAAAAAAAAAAATGTAAAGAAAACAGATTTTTAAGTGTATTTTATATTCATGTGAAATTCCTATTCTGTGCTCTGACCTGTAGATGATGCCTTTAGAATGTAAAAACTGAAGACCACAAATGATCTCGGCAGAGTAGAACCTGGCAAGACAAAGGAGTCAGAAGTCAGAAGGAGACAGAAATATCAGATACTCATCTCTGATGGAAAGCTACAGGCCTGTGCGGAGCTATCTCAGTACATAGCTGGCAGCTTAACACTGGTGTAACTGCAGACTCATTTCAGTGTACACCTGAATTATTGAAGAGGACATTTGTATGGAGTAGGAGACAGGTGAATAACACTCTCATAATGTGAAACCCAAGAGCTGCTGCGAGCCGAATGATTAGCCTATCGCTGACCTGCTTCTCTTGTCATCTGTGTCGAGTGAAACAACCAGGTCCGGAGAGCACACAAAGCCATCTCTCCAGCCCAGTTCCTGCACAGTGACACTAAATGACCTGCTGAACAGGACTGAATAGACTGTCAATATCTCTCACTTAACATCATTAGAAATGCAGTCCTCATAGAATAGGAGTCAGACAGTGCAGGCATATGTACAAGAATGTCTCAACCTGGATCACGAAGAACAAAACAAAAACACACAGTTGTAAGAGGACACCTCGATATGCATGCAAGCTGAAGGAAAGTTGAAATGGTGCATGAAACTAGTCTTTGTCAGGTTAGCAGCAGCCTTTGTGGTGGCAACGAGCTTAACTGAGACTCTGCAGTTCAGTCACTGCCAAAGGAAAAATGTTGCATAACCAGATCCAGCACATGCCTTATATTCTGTGACAGCCTGTGCAGCAATATACAACACGACAGTTTAGACACATTAATCTTGTGTGTCATCAAGTTTACAGAAACTATTCTATTGTAAAGAAGTCAACAGAAGATTATGTATATTGCAGGTACTAGACGACTTCCTGACTGGCATGGCGGTGGAAGTGCAGGTTGATGGAAGAATACTGCTTTGTCTTTTTCACAACAATAATGAGCATTCCTACAGAAATAAGAGGAAATGCCAGTGGAGGAACAGATAGATAAGAAAATAAAAGGAGGGGATCAAAGCCATATCTCACCTCTAACAGTGCAGGAAATTATGTTAATG